CTAATAACGGATAGTGTTCAGACCCATTGTAATTAGTTATAAACTTTTTGGCAATTTTCCAACAATGCTGCAGGAATTCATTGTTGATACCGTTTTGTCGCACCGTCCTTACGATATTACCTTTTTATTGGCATTGGTAATTAAGTGTGTAAACTTTTCATTTCATTTCATTGCCGTGGGAATAAATTCACAATGTGTTTTTATTGTTATTTTATTCGCATTCTTGTTTCGTTCAAGTATTGTTACAAATAACCATATACGTACAGTTAAATTGTACCGCTAAATACAAGTTACGGTAAATTATTGAATATTGATATTATTCTGTATTGTGTTTGAACAACTAGAGTAGCTAAGGTTCTGCTCGCTTTGCTAAATCATGTTGTTACGTAAAAGGTTACTACCATTCAACCACTCTAAAACCATGACATTTTCGAAACATTACCACCGTCCTTCTTGCAACATCATAGGAAATGTAGGTGTTTAGCACGTACATAACGCTAATGGTGGCTTGATTACGACGTAATATAATATTCAGATGGTATTTAGTAAGTCACGTACTAGTATATCTTATTATTAAATGCGAATGTTTGGATGTATGGATGTTTGTTAGAAGGTACCTTCAGAAAGGCTGCATGGATCTCGTTGAAATTTGGAATAATTGGAATAAAATAAACATAGGTTAATGATTATGTTTTTATTTTAATTCCCCTTGGATGTATCCACGGGCGATAGCTAGTAAGTCATAATTTTGTACAATATTTTTATGGAGTTCTGATTCACTTAGACGGAATTATTTTTCATATGTTGTTAAATGGCGGTGTAGGTCAACATAAAGAGGTGCTTTTCTAATAAGACTGTAATGTCAGTAAGAGTAAGTAACTGTAGATAGAAATTGTCTTGCTATTTCATGTTTTTGCCTTGACTCCATAGAGTAAGATAGATGGTCAGAAAATATTACGCAAACAATCATAAGGGCCATTCAATCAAACGCAAGCCAGCTGTCAAGTCGATAAGATGTGGTTTTAACGTCGACCAGCACGCTATTTCTATATTTGTTGGTGAGACGATAAGGTGAAGGTTAATCGTGTTTTGAATAAGTTATCGGTTACATCGATATCGTGGAGCACATTACCAGTTTTTGTTTTATCCTCATTATTGACAGATATTTATTCGAACGATAAGGAATTTTGTGTGACGACTTCTGATTCTCGTCTTGTAAAATTTATTATATATATAACATTATATATAGTTATTATTTTATGCCATTAAATAAAATAATACATGTTTAATTTAATTGTATTCAAATATTTAAAATGTTTATGGCCATCACTATCATAAATCCGGATTCTAGCTTTCATTATTTTCGGATTCCAAGTCGAATCGTATCATAATTTACGAGGCTTTCTAAATGATTTTATGTGAATAATAAATCTATTATGATTTAGTCTATAGGTAATCGTTATTTCGTATAAAGACGTATGCAATTTTATTTTTTAATTCGTTCGTTTTAGTTTCGGTTACCACGACCACACAGAAGACAGTCGTGAAGTGGAAGTAATTCCCAGTATCCTTTGAATAGTGTGGGTGTCGTCTCTTTCCGACCTTTTTGTTAGAAGAAACGGAAGGGATGGGAAGATGGTTTTGGCAAAGGAAGGGACAATAACATAAAATAATAACATTTTTAAATCAAAAACATTCTTTAATAAATAAATACGATACCCATCAAGGTCTGTAAGCATTTGCTTATACTAGCTGATTGCTATGCCATTTGCCTGTTTCATCCTTGAAGTCAGATTTAATTTGCAAGTTGTTTTCAATCCAGATTGTCACGTAGTCAATTCGTGCAACAGTAGGGATCTACGTTGATATTTTTATGCGCATATGTATGACTCTTGAGGTGTAAACGTAACCAGATTGTTTTGCAATCCGCGTACGATTTACAACGGAATTTTACTGACTTATCCGAGACATTATAATATTATATTATATTGTAATGATCGCGAAGATTTTGCAAGTTACACCTAGAATTATAACACAATATAAATAATCATAGAGGAATCATGCCAAATATTCAGTAGTGAATTTATTAGAAACACGCGTTCGCGTTATTTGGTACAGTGAGATCAAATTAATAGAACTGAACAGTCAAGCTAATATTATAAGCTAATTATTTTAAGATGGGATTGCACGTGATGATGAAACCACATAATCTGTAATTGTATTATTGTATAGTATGAACTAGATTGAATACTTCTTTAATTTATTTGGTAAACAAAATAATTCAGTACTGTTACCTTGCCAGTTTTATTGCCGAGCTTTCACTTTTCACTGGATTTTATTTCGAGGAGCTTAAGGTTAAGGCCAATCCAGTCATTGTGTAAGCCAGCGTTCATAACATTCTACAGTGTATCACCAATTACTACTAAAATATTTGAATTGAAATCTATATTTATGTTATAGCGATATAGAATTTCATACCATTGTATGTTGTGTGCTTTTCGCAACCCCATGACTGGCGCTTATTTTGCATTACCTCATTTCATTACTTGACATCAAAATTAGTTAAAATTTCTTAATTTAACGTTATGTCGTAAACAAAAAAGACGCTGATAAATGGAAATATAAATAAAGAGAAAAGAACAGATTTTATTTTACTTTCATTTTTCATTAATTCATAAAAAATACTGTCGGATAAAGTAGGTAATATCGATCAAACATAAACAAAAGATTATCACATCGTTACGTTACAAAACCACAAAGCGCTGAAGCTCCATAAATATTTTTATCTTATCTGTTGCGTTGCTAATCTGTGTAGGCTAGTGTCGGGGTGTAGTGCCATTGTTGACGTTAAATCATGTTGGTCGCTGGCGCGCGGCGCACGTCTCTCCCGGTGTCCCTCGACAAGGACCATGCGAAACTCAACGACGTTGACGAGGTAATTATTTAATCAATGTATGATAACAATGGATTAAGTAAGGAAAGTTTTTATAAACTTTAGATAAATACCAGACACTGATATAATAATAAAAAAAACTTTTTTCTTTTTATTGAACCTCGTATTTATTAATATTATAGGTATAATAAGGTCATCACTATTTGTGATGATACTGTTAAGATAGCTGGTAAACTATTTATGGTTGCATTATTCTGCTTTAGTTTATATCGATAACGTTATTTGTACTTTTAAATAGGTGGTTATACAGGTGGTTGAACTTCACTTATCAGAAACAACTTCGTGACAACAAAAACAATGTAAAACTCTTAACACAGTTGCAACATTTTTTTTATAAAATATTTAAAGGCTTTTAGTACATAGAATGTACTAGAAAAAAAATGATAACATACTTTGCATTATATTTTCCTTAAGTACAACCTTTAATGAATATTTGCTTTATTTATCTTATCGATTATTTCGTTGCGCCTTTATTTTTAGTGGTCACTTTACATTCACAAAGAAATGTAAAAATGTATGTGATAGTTCAAAACAGTCTAACAAAGCCTTGCGCTAAAATTAATTGTTGAAAGCCCGCTACCGAAAGTTATAGGTGAACAGTCAAACTGTTCAGTTGTCCTTAATTGTCTTATTTTTAAATTACCCTTTGACGAAAGCTTTAACAGATATCCAATCGATTTATATTCACGACGTTTCTTACGAGTGGTCGCTACAGATATCTTAAGCGTTCTTGGTATAACAGGCGCAACGCCAACTTAACCAGTTTTCGGTGCCTCAAACTTCACCCATTGTTCGACTCAACATTTATTCCTTCGTTATTTTGTTCAGGTCAATGTCTTCATCAATTAGTCCTCTGATGTTCAACAACTTTAAATAGCCTTACGCTACCAATTCGTGCAAATTGACTCACACAAATATATGACGTACTCGTTTTCAGTGTTAAATTTGGGTTAAAAGACAGTACCAGATAAGTCAACAGGACGGGATGGATTTGTTAGTCGATTCATGAAGAAATTGTGGATCTTTACAAACTTGTCATAGTAATCATAATACTAGCTTTGGACTCTGGACAAACGTATAGGAAACCTAGCTTGTCATGTCTGTCATATTCCATTTGTATTAACTATGACAGATATCAAATAGATGTTTGCTATTATGATTTGTTTGTAATAGTATATTGTGTAAATGGCGATTGTCAAGATAAGCATATGAGTCGCTTATGACTTGCTGAAAACAAAGGAGTACGACAGCCATTAGGAGCTATAGCCGCGCCAATTGCCGCACTCCGCCGACTCCATTTGAATTGTGTAAGTGCTGATTATTAACTCGGGTTTGGTTGCGTTCAGTCTACTTTCAACTAGATTTCTTCTCCATTAAAATGGCCAGTTTCATTGTGATAATCTATCCGCAATTCTATTTAAACTAATCTACAATTAGTAATTATATTATCTATCTTTTGTATAATCGTCTTTTATTTTTGCATGAAATAACTAAATATCAGGGTCTAACTGCGTCTTACCTATACTAGTATTTTTTTGTATACAAATTGACAATCACAAGGTCGATTCTGCGTAAACTGTTGAGCCATATAATATAATCTGAGTTTAAAATAGGTATTGTATTACGCATAATTTTCATTTCTTGATTCACGCCCTCTTTTATATCTATTTATTGCTCTATTTTGACCAAAAAAATCAATACGATAATATCATAATGTATGAATCATTCTAGTCATTGTGTGATTCAACTTATTCATTTACAAGTTTAATATACACAGAGCTGGTGGTACTATTAAATTAAAGCTCCTAAATGGAACTGAGAATTCTAACTAAAGAAATTTTGCTGCGCAAATTCTTATAAGATACATAAATAAATGTTGTTATATCATATCGATATCCTTTGAACCTAAATGTTATGTATTATAAATGCGAATGTTTAGATGTTTTTTAATAGGTCCATATCTCCAGAACAGCTTTTTTCTAATTACGCGCCGACGACGGCTAGTAAATCATAATCATTGTTAGTTCTTGTTGGACTGGTGTAGTCGGAGTCAAAGACAATGTTCATTGCTCAGGCCTCGGTCCCAGGTCGGCCATGGCAATGTGTGCGTGTGCTCGCTACGGTCGACGGCACACTACTGCGCCGCACGACATCGATTCGCGGCTCAAGCGATCGCCTCATTCAGTCACCAGTGCGCAGCACCACGGGAAACAAGTGTTTCAAGTTATACGCGTTTTTTTTATTTTTAAGTTTTTTTATGCAACCCTGAGAGAAAGAAAACTAGTTTTAAAACGGACACGAATTCTGTCTAACTTAGCTAACCATTGAAATAGTGCTACGGGAGCTCCGCGCTCGTTCTAGCTAGGTTTGTGTGTTGAGTAATATTCTGTGTTAGTTGCAGTGCTTGTGCTTTTGATAGAAACGGACGATTTCGTTGTGAACGTGTTCCAATTTGGGAATTCACCACGAGCGGGCTCAAAGAGATTTACAGTCAAGTGAGTAAAACTTTCTTAATGAACGTCTTTGTCATTTGCGATATGCTATCATTAATTATTTTTCTTAATAAAAGACCATTACTTCGTAATTAATTACTTAATTAGTTTCTCATAACATTTACTTGGTTGAATTATCTACATTATAAATACGAGATAAATAAATGTTGTCTAAGTAATTACAAGCTAAGAGGATTTATAAGCGTAATGATAGAGCGTCGACAAGTTGGTGTTTCCACCACGTCACTGCCGCGACTGTGCGCGCTGTAGCGCTAGTCTTATCTGGCCTGGCCGCTTTTGCATATTTTATTCGCTTGTTTTGCAGTCGTATATTTTGGTGTGTGTCTGATGTGACGTCACGATTTCTTGTTTATCCTATCAAAATTGTTATGAGAACTGGTACCGTAGCGGTTTTGCTATTGTAAAATACAATCCTATCCTAAAATTAATTTAAAAGTTAAAATTTTACAATAAAGAGGCATATAACTAGCTAATATACCTAAATATTTTCATCTAAACGATACAAGAAATTACATAGTTTGCCTTTGTGGGTTTATTATAACTTTCACTATAAACGCTGTTACGTTTTATTGCCCTATAGTAAAATAAACTAAGTCAGGGATTGTGAACCTTTATGTATGAATGTGCCATTTTTGAAAATAAATTTTTAAATGAGGTTACAAAAGTGCCATGAAATAATTTTAATTTTGTTATTATTGGGAACATTCCGTGGCGTAGGGACCACTCTTGTTCTCATTAAATACCTATTCTACACTTTTCCATTGTGTGATAAATGACGTGCCCAAAATATTGAGCTTTTAGTTCGCCATCCCTAAACTATGTTTTTTGTGGTAGCTTGGTGGAACTACCTATTGACATTAGACGTAAACAATCCTTTATTTTTTATTATTACCTTATATGCTCTCTTAAATTAAATATCCAAATAGGTAATATATAAATTGTAAACAATTTCAGCTAATAAGTTACCGAAATATGTGTGTTATCTGCTTTACATACTTCAGTCAAGGTCACGATTTACGTATAAACTATTTATCAGTTTGTGTGTACGTACACAATCATACGTTCAAAAACATTTGAACTGGAAAACGTTCGTTTGCCTTGTGTTTGTGTTTATCATTGTAGTCTCAGCAATATAAAGTAGGGGAAGAGGAAATCCATAGTTTTAGGTATTATTTAATATCTCGTAAAGTGTTTTAGTTTTATGCTTGTTACAAAGGTTGACAATTAATGACAGTTCACACTAAAGAGCCTTTGGCTGTTTTTTGCGCCATTAAGTTGTGGGTTTTGTTACGTCGATTTTGTTTAAAAAATCTGGATCTTCGAAAAAAACGTCGAATCACAAGAGATAATGGAAATTATCTTATATTTAAGCTTTAGTTAGATTAAATTTATATCTGTTTAATTTTATTTTATTATAACAAAAAATTACAAAATTAATAACTTTTCCCCAACCATCACATGAAGCCGATATAAATGTGCCAGGTTCCAAAATATCATTCATGGCTTTGTCATATCATCTTTATATCTTTGTGTCTGTAAATTCAAGACTCAAGATGTGAATCTCAAGATTACATAGGCACATATAATTGTAATGTAAACGAGTAACGTAACTTTATAGAGTCCCATCTTATAAACTAACGTTTTCTTGCATAGGTCTATTGGGACTCTTTTGATGATAGCTAAGACTTACTTGAACTTGTACTTCTTAACCAGAGTGTTTGCTCTAAAAATCTTGAGAAAAATCCGACCGAGACCCTGCTATATGTCAAGCGACACTTGAGAATATTGCCTGCTTTTTTGTTGCATAAGTATTTTCACTCATATAGGTTTAATATAGGACGGTGTTATACGGTGTAGTCAAATTCAATGGAAACTATAACAAACATTTTTAAACAATTTTACCTTTAAAAGTTATACAATTTTATGGTTTCTGATCTATTCGTGCCGTTTGCAAAATATATTCAAAAGGAACATGCGTATGTTATATAATACATATGTTAATCATTTGTAGTTAGAGGTTGATATATAATACAAGTTTTTGTACATAATCCAAACCAAATCCAGCACCTATTAGGACCTATAAGCGAAATGAAGTATAAATAATTTTATACGTTAACGCTTAAAACGTGCTAATATTTCACCAGTAGTAGAGTAGGCATTCAATGAAACATTATATGTCCAACTTTCGCACATTATGTTTAAGATTAAGGTTTTACAAATAAAACTCACAGTAAATGATTTTTGCTTCGAAAAAAAAAAAAAAGTTACACTTGATCAAGTAGGTATAAATTTTTAATTCTTAAAAAATCTATTACAAAGTAAGTACCACTTTTACTATAAATTGTTAAAAATATATATATTTGTGTAGTTAAATATACATCGTGTTACATACGCAGTGAAAGTCGATGTGCGACATGCTCGGTGTTGCCAGAACGCTCTAGAATACGGATAAAGGACGCAGTTTGATCTACTTGTTTCAACTGATACCTCGATATAACTTGTCGAAATCAATTATTTTATTTAACATGTCGTTTGATATTTCAGTTTTAAAGAAATACTACCGAAATTTTTTCATGGATACAAACCATGATCGAAAAATTCCACGTTTTAATAAATTTTATAACTTTTTACTCTTGATTCGATTCTTGTATTCATCAAGCTTTGAATACATATTCTGGGAAGAGAACAAGTTGGAAGACGTATCTTAATTTCTTAGTAAATTGTGTTTATATTTTTGATAGTAAGAAAGTCTACTTTTAGATTACAATTTGATTGAACAATTTAAAGTCGGTTTGTCTGTTTAATTGTCGGATGCCATGCAATCATGCAAGTCTGACCGCGACATCGTGTTGGGATGTCGTAAGACGACGCTTGTCCGAGCTATAGAAAGCTCCATGGAAAATTCCACTGCTGTGGTTCAACCGTACTCAAAGGTCCATTCTCCTTTATCTTTTGTTGTGATCCGCATCGATGCTAAGCTTGTTCTTTTGTTGCTTAGAAAGTAGAATTAAACTAATTATTGGGAGAAATAAATAAAAAATAGGATTAGGGTAAAAATGAAAAATGTAAAAGCTTTTAACCACAGTCTTTCTTGTTACAAATTTTAATACGAAACTAAATTTTTGTTCATCATGGATTTCACACACATTTAATTTTTCTTAGCAACAAGAACTTTTACTCAGAACAAAATTCATCACTAATTGTTATATTTTTGTAATTTAAAAAGTACCTAGAAAAAGATCAAACGAACTGATTACGGTGAATACTTGTCGCTTGAACTAACGCGTACTCTATCGGCACATCAATCTGGTTAATAAAGCGAGCGAGTGTGGGCGTTAAAATGCTAGAAGCAAATACAATTCATGCTCCCATTGCTTTAGTAACGAATATGCCACCTGTCATTTGCGAATGTTACGTAACTGTTAGTAATTTTTTTTAGCACGCACGTCCACAGTTCAAGCTCAAGGCAAAGGCGGCGATCATTATAAATCTTTTTTTTTGTAAATCTTTTTACTCAATAACTTATCGCTGTAATTGCGTGTAGTTTTCGTAGAATTATCGCAAGTGGTGTGTTCAAGGTCATAACAATCTTATTAACCATGATTAATACAAATTTTCCGTGAATGAAAATGATGAGTCAAAATCTTTGGCTGATGCCAATTCGCATAGCATTCACCGAAATCTCCAGTACAACTATAAGTACACTTATGAGATATACTATTAAAATCTGATACATTTTTGCTCTACGTTCCAATTAAATTTATCAGGCATTAAAATGGTATGTAGTGGTAGAAAACATGTTTTTCATCTCCATGTTGATACGATTCCATCTTCTCTTGTTATTAAATACGGTACGATATATGTTTATAAATAGCTGGCGCCATGTTTTGATATGCCCGGTATGTACTAACGTTAATTGGTTTCTTCCTACACTGCGTATACAATTTCCATTCCTTGATATTTAGCAGACAGACGTCGGGAAAGTGCTTCACCCGTGTACTATTTATTTTTGCCATTGATCTATATAGGAAAATGTTTTTTGTTCCAAACGTATATTTTGTTGTAAACAATATACATTTGTGTTTTTAGGACCGGATGTCATAAATGTTTAAATAATGAGTTAGTCAAAAAACTGTTGTTGTATTTATACTTATTTACTTACTAGTAAGTATTACATTGTTAGTTTTCTAAAGCCATTACAATATTAATCGTTGTACCATCCAATTATTTTCTCGAAAGAGACTTTTATGTCAAACAATATTGCCAGTTTAATTTATTATTTAATTCAGTAAATGACTAAGTATTTGACTGTTAAGGAATAATCAACAAAGACAATGTCATGTTTTAAATGGTTTTCATAGAATTAAAAACCTAATTAATTTGCAAATTTATTTCTAAGTTGTAAGGGCAGGTGTAATTAATTTTGCGTTGTTCTCAAACTGGGTTACGTAATTAGGTCAGTAGGTATTGGAACACACGTTACACAAACGTATGTAACACTATCATGGATCTGTGTCGCTTTGAGCAAGATTCTTAGAACGAAATATCGTGTAAATTTGTACTGGGGAACGAACGAGCCCGGTACCGACCTACTGACCCATATGATGTCCTGGTACACCTACATCTATTTATGTTTCGTTATATCATTAGAGTTCTTTATAAATATTATTAATAAAATGAATAATTAATGATCCATATGAAGTGACATAATTTAAATGAATAGTTATTGCGTTTTTTTTCTCAATTAAATGGAACAGCATTCTTTCTGAGTTCTTAACATTATTCTAGTATAAGTATTAATAATTCGATCGTTATTAAATTATTTCTGCCACTTTACTTACGTTAAATTTGTGTTTTGTTACACACAAAAAGTATCTTGTTTATATAATATTCTTGGAAGAAACACAAAAACTCATTGGCGGTCAAAGTTAATTTGATGCTAAGCAGGTCAAAGCCACACGTAATTACTAACCCGTTTGTTA